GAAACTATTAGAAAAAAAATGAAATAAAAAAATACCGCTAAAGAAGAGATTTAATTGACTTTTTGATGCTATTGTTATCTAAATTATGTATTTTGATAATAACTAAAATTTAGTGAACTAATACACTTTAATATGTATATAAAATATATTATTATTTATCAAAAAATATAATAATCATACAAGATAAGTGAAATAACATTTCGTGAGGTTTCTTTTAAAACTAAATATAATTGACGTGTCGCCACTTAAGGTAAATTGCATAAACTTCCCTACATGTTTAAGTGGACTTATCGTTAATAAAAAACAACAATATAAGAATTTATGAGTGATTAATAAGTATATCGAGGTGCTGTAGTACATCATAATATGGGAAACTATTGCAAGTTATTCAATTTTGTACAAAATTGCCAAATGTGTTCGTTATTTTCGAGAAATAGTTTTTTTTCATTAAATTTCATCGAATTTTTGAAATCGGTGTAACTGCAGTGTCGGATCCAGGGTGGATCACGAGGGTCATGACCCTCTCCTGAGCTTGTCTTAAAACTTAGGTAGAACACTAATTCAGCAATAAAATTACTTTATAAAGATGTTATTTATGTATTTCGTTATCAAACACATTTTATAACTTCAATATGTAACTTATTATAGACAAACGGCGGAGTCAAAGACTCCTAAAATTTAAGGATTCTCTAATCGTATTTCAAATATATGTTCTATACATAATATAATTATGTGAACCCCTCTGGTGCCAAAGCTGGATACGCCATTGTGTAACTGTCGGTGAAAAGCCCAATTTAGTCTCAAACAACCTTTTTCTAATTTTGATGTCAAACGATTCAGAATGACTTGAAAGGTCGAAAAAAGAAAAGCAAATCTTATTTTCTGGCGTGAACAAACTTCTCTTTCGGTAAGTTAAAAATTATTATTGTAATTTGTTGTCACAATTGTTTTGAATATAAATATATTTGAATGCTTACTTACAATTAAAATACGATCAAATTAATATTACGTAATTTATTGACATTTATATATTTTTTTTATTCTAAAGGAAATAATTTTGCATCAAAAAAAGCATTACTTGTTCTGAATACATTTTGTTATTTAGAACCATTTACAGTCCATTTAGACAATTTTGCTGTTTTTAAAACAATTACTTTAACAAGTTGCAAAAACTTCCCGATGTAAGTAATTAATCAAATTAATCATTGATGTTTTCTTACGATAGAATAGATAAAATTATCATTTTGAATACACTTATAATATCTTACTTTAATAATATAAATATTATATTTTGAACTTTGTAAATCGTATTTGTAGTCGTATGAACTCTAACGCCAAGCTAAATTTAATTAAAAACGCAAAAAATGAGCTTTGAATTACAAAAAAACAGTTCAGTCGTCTTTTACTAACAAAAACTAATCAGTCAATTTTTCACACACAATCAAATTTTTATAATCGGTTCAGGATGTTTTAAGAATATGTATACAAAATAATTTCTGATTCTAAATAAACGAACGAATTAAAAAAAAAGTTTAATACAAGTAATAAATCTTTTAAAGCACATTTGTAAACTATATAATGCAAACATTATTGTTTTCTTTATAACATTATAATTCACATTGAGATAAAAGGTGAACAAGCGTTTTGCTTGATTCACCTTTTTAGGTATGTAGAAATGACGAGAAACCTAGAATGGCCAAGTTCTCAGAAATAAGTTACATTAATTAATTAATCATAGTTATCGGACGGGCTATGCCCGGAAGTTAATTATATTATTTCCTTTACTTATATAGTTATTAATTTCGACTATATTGCGCGGGGAGAGTTTCACGATAGCACCCACGATGACATCTGTGGCCGAAGTTGTCACGTTGAAAAATTTGAAAAATTCACCTTCGCTTTGTAGTCAAGCTTCATTAATATTGTGATACAGATTTCGTACAATACTCATTGTATATTTGACAATGTCCAATATATTTTTTGAGAAATTGTATCAATTTAAGAACATCGTATAGTACAAGGGCGAGCAACCTTTTTAACCCACGGGCCAATTTAAATTTTAAAATTTCATAGCGGGCCGCACGTAATTTATATATATACTAGCAGACCCGACAAATGTTTTGCCACATGAAATATTTTTAGAAAATCATTGGTATAAAAAATGGCTAACTAATTCTGAATGTAAAAATATGTAATATATAAATGAAAGGGGCAGCTAATACAAATTACATTGATAATTTACCCAACGCAACACAGAAATACTAACATCCATATTTGAATTATGTTAACTCTGAAAAACAAATCCAGGTTTCTTTTAAAAACAGTTTTATCTTCAGATTTTAATATTAAATTTCTAATTTTTTTTGCTAAAATTGCTCCTTCTGCAAGGCATTCTAAAACTATGTACTTCTTATGCACATCGAGAAATATTTGTATAGGACCTGTTGTACAATAGCAAATCAGTTAGTTTTATTGGAGGTAACCATTTCGTTGCTAATATCAAAGAATTGTTTTTAAAATGTTGCAGCGAATAGAGCGGATAAATTTAAGCTTTTCTATAAGCTCAGAAAAATCTTGATCGAATTTCTATTAAAAACGTTCACAAAAAAGACGATAATTGTTAATTGATCGATTATCGAGCTAAAATGACTATTATGAAATAAAAAAGTGAAATTTGGAGTGGTATGTAGTTTTCCATTCCGCATTAAAAAATATAAAATAAAGAACAAAATTAAAAAAATTGTTACGGTTGTACACAACCCATGAAAAAATAAATTGCTTTTTCTTTTTGAATAAAATTGAAGATTTTTCATAAACTTAAAAGTCTGAACTAATATTAAGTCAAAACGATTCATTGACTGAGCGCAGGAATAATGTAATTGCAACAAAATTTCAAGGGTGCAACAAGAAAAGAACAAATATACAAAGTTGAAAAAAGAATATATTTTATATGATTACGAGTGTATATTATAAGTTTATATGAAAATTACGAAATTCTGTGATGGTTTTCATTAAGTGTACCTACATCGATTTTAAATGGCAAAGAAAACAGCTGCCTTGCTAGCTTTCAACACTTGGAAACACAATTAAAATTTGTTCACATTTCATTTTTCTAAATATGGAAAGTGAAACACAAGATTCTGCAGAAGATATTATTTTTCATTACCAACATGACGAAAGTACTACAATTATCGGGCCGGGCGTTGCTCATCCTTGCTATAGTAGATAAAATGCATAAAAAACTGGATGTACGTGTAATTATGGCTTAAGGCAAGTTGCATAAGCTTGCCGATTTGTGTAAATAATTGACTGAAAAAAATTTAAAGTTAGCTATTCAGATAAAATTCGAACATATCAATATTATTCGAACGATTTGTTTAAAATTTGTTTCGCATATTTGGCTAAAATGTAGACAGCTTCGCAGTTTTCTGCTAATTCTAAAGAAACGGTTTGACTGTTTGTCTTTTAAAATTGGACAAACGAATTAAAAAAAAAGTTTAAAAAAAATTTAGTAAATGGAATATATTTTTTTAAGCATATTTATAAAACTAAATAATATAAACTTTTTTTCCTTTGTAATATTATAATTCACATGGCGACATAAAGTGAATAAGGGTATATCGGATATGTTTTTGGAGGAATAGTTGAATACATAAGGTTTTAGACCAGGCCCGAAAAAGTTAATAAATTCATTTTGTTACTTATATAGTGATTTATTTAGACTGCATTGCGGATTTACACTGCATTATACAATTACACTATGCCAATGGTAGTGCTAAATTGTGTGCTTTGCTCACATCTCCTAATGTGAGACACAATAGCCATAGCACTGATGATGACATAAAATTTTAAGTCAAAACATATAGAATATTTAACACCCGAATAACGCTAAATCTAGTGACATGTATGTCGAACTGCGTACACATTTCTCATATTTTGATACTTGCTCAATTTTAAAAAGCATTTGGAGGTTATAAACCTACTCCCGCACTGTACAGAAAAACGCGCTAAGAATTTCGTCTAAAAAGTTTTTACACTCGTACGCTCTTACGTGATTTGTCATCGAAATTTTACGAGTGTTCCCGAAATCTTTGACGAAAATTTGTATCCGCACACACACACATACATCAATTTTTTCCAGGTATGCCAAAAAATTTTTTTTTAAATTCTTTTTGAACAGCAATCAGAACCTAATAGTTCTATAAGCTGTTGTGCTGATTTTGACTTAATACTACTCGATTTGACAGATGTCAACCCAATCAGTTGTCACATCTCTGTTTGATATATTATTATTACAATTTCTGTAATAGGGCGGATATTTTTAATGGTGCAGCAATGCCGGGTGAGGGCTATTTTCACTTGGAAACATATTGCAATTTATATTTCCAAGTGAAAATCGTCGTCAATGTTGCCTGACAGCAGGCTGCTCGAAATGGGTATCGAACCCGGGACCTCTGAAACAAGTCCCGTCGCTTTTAACAGCTTAACTACGGGCGAGCTTGGTATGCCAAAATGTTCAGAAACCTTTGAAACGTAAAGATATATAAAAATTTTCATTATTACTATAACTACCCTACGGGAAGTTAAAAAGCACAAATTAAAGTATGTACTCACATATACACAAATAGCTACGCCGAATATGTGCTGTTCTAAAGATTTTCAAACTTTTGTTTTAACGTGACAAACAAGTAAATTTAAATATGTTTTAGCCGATTTTGAATAATTTGAAAATGAAAAATAAATTCTTTCTATAGTATCGCCTGAAGAAAAGAATATAGATTTTGTTTTACGAAAGCTTTTTAAATATTAGATGCTCAAAAACTTTTATATACATATTCATAAATTTGTATTTAATCTTAAATTTGATGTTGACATATTAACAGAGTGTAATAATCAGCCGTAACATCAATAAAAGTTCTCTAAATTTATTGATGTTACTCCTAATTATTAAACTCTAATAATATAATTTATAATAAATATATATATATGGATGTGTGATTTTATAATAGTCATGAGAAATACATCACTTAATATAAATTTAAATTCAACCTATCAACTTGTTTTAAGCTGAAAATGGTTATTCACGTAGAAGCAGTTTTATTTTATAGCCATCGGTCGATCTAACTGATATGTCATTGTGCAAATGTAAATCTTGTACTTTTTTATCAGCTACGATTTTAAAACGCTGCACTATTCTCGCCACTGCTACTTTAATCAATGACAGCGCGTACGTTTTACCTGAAAATGATTATAATAACTCATTTTTTAATTTCGTTCATAAATAATAACTGGCCACAGGTACTTTATCCGAGAAAAGCCAATATATACATATATATATATATATATATATATATATATATATATATATATATATAATAAAAATAGAAAGAAATATATTTTACCTAAACAAGACCTTGTACCATAAGAAAATGGTAAATATGCAGAAGGATGCCTGTTGGCGACTGCTTCGGGAAAGAAATGTTCTGGATAGAATTCCCAAGGGTGTTCCCAATGTTTAGATTGATGATGTAGGTCAAATATTCCCAAAACCACTGAACAATTCGCTGGTATAGTAATATCATCTGCGTAAAATACGAAGAAAAAATCATTATATATTATATATTATATATTACTATAACCGTATTTTGATCTTACCATCAATCAGAACATCTTCGCTACATGTACGTACAAGGTATGGTGCAATAGGGAATAGTCTAATGACTTCTTTAATAACCATATCAGTATAAGTCAATTGGGCAACATCTGCGGTGGTCATCGTCGTGTTTCGGTTGAAGTGAATTTGATTCACTTCCTGGTACAGCTTCTCCTGAAATTATTAAAGCTATTACTATATGAAATATAGTAAATATGACGATTTTGCGCAAATTTCGCTGCACGAACTATCACGTGCTAAAAAAACTACATATTAACTGAATATATAATAGTGAATTGTGATAAACGCTGTGTCGTAATTTACCATTTATTCCCCACAAAATAACATTATTTTGTAAATAATGTGTATATTACCTGAGCTTCCGGATATGCACCTAGCATAATGAGCACGAATGAGCAGATACTAGCTGTTGTGTCTTGAGCCTAAAACAATTTGACAAATAATTAAATACTGCTATATACACAAAACGTAATCGTAAACGTAACGTAAAAAACGTAACGTAAAATTTAATTGCGAATAGAATAAAAAATGTTCGACATATTTATTCTTATCGTATTACATATTTATTCTTATACTTTTTATTTGAGATTTTACTACAAATTCTTAATTTTGATCTAACTTGTAGTTAAACCTTAAAATTTGAATCATTTCTTCATTCTTTGATAAATATGAATTCGATAACAAATGCCAAAAATTTGGTTTTGATGTTATTTTCTGAAAATTGATCAACGAAGTACAACACATATTTTATCGCCGTTCGAACGTGGACGCCCAATTGGTACTCTCCGCCACTTTTATGCTTGCAAACCTGATGTAATTGATATGCTTGATACGAGTACATTTAATTATTAACATACCGCTGCATAAAGAGTCAATATTTCGTCTAGTATCTCTTTATCCGTGTATGCATCTGGATCATTCGCTGCAAATCGAAGTAATTGCTCCACAGTGGATGGCGATTTGTTTGCTTTCTCTGAAGTTATGCCCGCCTTCAACTCTTCTTGTTTCGTTTTCAGCAACTTGAAAATAATATGTATATTTATATTAATATAATCCACAATCCATCATACAATCAAATCACTTCAATAAACTTACCTTTTTAAAAAAGTTTATGTACTCATTTATACTCTTGTAGTACCTCTTAGCTATTGGTGTAAGTTTAAATATTGCGTCGGTTTGCATCCATATTTTAACTAATCGTTCTATAACGACATCGTAGAGACTGTTTGAAATGGTAAATATGATGAATTATTTTAAATGCTAATAAGATACTTAATAAAACTCACAATTCAACATTTGATAAGAACTCTTCAGTTTCCTGTTTAGATACTTTGTAATCCATTATAGAATCTAAAAATATAGAACAATAGTTTTGTAGAGCAATATTATAAATATTGGGATCCGGCTGAATATATAATACTACCAAAAACAATATCCGAACATAGCCGGCTCATTGTCCAGTAAATATCAAATTCTTGACCATCAGCTTTTTCTTCCAATTGCTTTATATATACCTCTGTATGTTTTTCAAAGATATCAACATATCCGTTTATATTTTTTGGTGACAACATCGGCGAAAGAATTTTTCGGTGAAGTCTTGCTCTAATGCCTTGTAAAATTAAAAAAAGTGCTAAATGTATTTTTAACATAGAACCCATAATTTTATTTTATTCCATTTTACCGGAGCCTGTGATTAAACCATCGCCAACCATTACTTTTAAAGGATCATATATAGCATCTTTATATGTTAATTTTGAAGATAGTAATATTTTCTGAAAAATAAAAATGCATTTATATTTACATGCGATGTGTGTTCATGAAGCCTTTTCAAATTTTGCGTAATTTAGTAAGAGCGTACTTTGTCATTGTGTGCGTTACGCGCGAGTGTACTGGCTCTGGTTTGTTCAATTTTCCAATGTGTTACACAAAATTGATTTGATCAATATTTGCAGTACTTGAAGAAAAAACAATAGGCTTTCAAATAACGCTAATTAGAAAGTCGTCCAACTAAACGCTCTACCCAAAAACATAAATTAAAAAAATATTTTGTCTTTTTCAGCTAATAATAAATGATTTTTTGGCATCGATTTTTCTACATAATGTGTTCCGAGTCAATGTGAGTAGAATCACGTGAAAATTTTTCGCTATCTTTTATGGTTACGCCAAAATGTGAGTTTGAAAAAGGCATATTTTCAATGTTATTTCGGCCATAGGGCGAGGTACGAAAATAAAAATTGGTATATCAGATTTTTTCATAAAGACCTTAAAAGTGGCGTATAAATTATTTAATTATCAGGTTGGAGCCGATTCTGCATGGCAATGCGCCATACAGATACAGCAGCTGCAAGGGTCTGCTCGACTGGCAGATCCTTGCAACCGCCAGAATGTTCTGGCTGTTTACATATACTTTCTAAACAGTTACAAAAATACACCCTTAAAAATATACGGGGCTCGCCCGTAGGTAAGCGGTTAAGAGCGACGGGACTTGTTTCAGAGGTCCAGGGTTCGATACCCACTTTGAGCAGCCTGTTGTCAGGCAACATTTACAACGATTTTCACTTGGAAATATAGATAGCAATATGTTTCCAAGTGAAAATAGCCCTCACCCGGCATTGTTGCACCATACTTGCCCCATTACAGAGATTGTAATAAAAATTAATCATACAGAGATGTGACAACTGTTTGGGTTGCCATCTGTAATAAAACAAACGTAGTTTGTAAGATCTTACTCACAACAGCTCATGGAACCCATTAGTTCTGATTGCTGTTCAAATAAAATTATAAAAAAAAATATATACGCCATTTGGGAGCAGGTTATAATTTTTTTTTTTTTTGACATTTTCAAAAATTGATGAGATGACCGCGAGATGCCTGTCAGAATAGTACTTTCTTAATGGACCGATAATAAAAAATTTCTAGCTTTGTGGGAAACGGGTTAGTCAGCTGGTTCGCTAACTCTTGTAATAATTATTATTATAGGACGTTGATGTGGTTCTCAAATGAACATTTTTATGAAAGATGCATTAAATATTATTTATTGTTTATAGGAAAAAAAATTATTTTTTATACTCTAGACGACTTGTTGACGTTTCAGTCGTTAATTTGTAACATTATGAACTTGCCGAAATGTAGAAGTCGATAGATCGATCGATGTAGATATCGATATGCAATTAAAATCGTAGCATTAGATTTTTTTTAGATATTAATTATTCAGCTACATTATGTTATCAGTAAAGATACAAAAAAAGAAATACCTCAACTTGATCAGCATCAGTAAATACAAGTAATAGCCTGTGAGCAAACCACAACCTTATGGGACTGCTGCGATATTCCGTGTGAATTTTAATCATTTTATTTAAAATTTCTGAAAAAATATCATATAAGTTACATTAATAATATATTTTATACATTTATAGTTTTCTTCATAATAAAATTTTAAATCGCTTCTGATTGTAGTGATTAAAATATGAGAAAAGATTTATTAGAGCATTTTAAAATTTTTTCTATGTACTAGTAAATTGCAATAAATTATTTAACATGGCATAAAAAAATACAAATAAATAGAAAAAGGCAAAAAATAAATAGAAAATTGCGAAATCTCAATTAATAAAATTCGCTAATAATACCAATCAAGACTAGATGTAAGCAAAAATTTAAAAAAATAAAATGTTCTTATACCCTTGTATAATATAAAGACTTTTCGTTGTATTGAATGTGCTATACAAGTTCATTCAATAAATATTTTAAACCGAAAGAACAACAACACCATCAGAATCTTGTATGTGATGTAAATAATATAAACAATAAATCTCAAATAAAACTTATGAAAATACAAATATATAAATATATATATATATATATATATATATATATATATATATTTGATAAATACTAAAATCTAACCGAATGGAAACTCATAAGCCATTTCGAATAAAAATTGTTAAAAAGTTAATCAAACAACCTGGTAAATGTGTAACGTATATTAAACGTAGTATATATTTTAGTAACAATCACTATATCTTGTTTCCTTCAATTAGCAATTGGACGAACTGTTTATTTGGCTTAACTTTTTGTTACTGAGTTCCATGAAAAGTCATAGTACTCTTGACAGTGGTATACAAATTTAAAAATCTACAGTTGAAACCAAAACTATTTACTTCATATTGCTCGTGAAATTTATTTTGATCTGAAGTAATTTATTTTTTTCAATACGACTTAATTAATATATATATATATATATATATATATATATATTGTAAACTATAATTTGATTTCATTAAATTATTTGAATTAATATCAATAATTTAGAAAGAATTCACTGATTTTATGTTTATTTAGATTAGAAGTAAAGTGAAAACTAAATATTCTATATACATACACAGAAAATCTTTGTCTCATATGCACAGATACCATTATAAATATTTCTTTCCAACTTTAAAAGCAACGCAGAGAAAAATTATAGAAAAAAATAAATGATTTCTCTAAAATAACAAGTGTTAAACGAAAACGCTTTTATATCGAAATTATGTAAAAGATTAATTTTGACTAGTCTGACAATAAGTAAAAAGAATTGACTTGGTACAGCTCAAGACTACGAGTTGTATGCACTTTTGTAATTAAATAAATTATGTATAAGTAATATTAAAGAATTTTTATAAAAAATTTGTAAATTATTTTGAATAAAATAATATATACGAAAAACTTTACTATAGATATATGTCTATTTAGTTAAAATAGGACTTAACCCTTTCCACTCGCAAATTGCGAGACCAATCTGTATTTTGTCGCCGGAGCGGCGGCATCCGAATGGAAAGGGTTAAGTTGTTCTAGTCAATTATGTTAACGATTGAAACTACTTCTTCATTTACCTTTTCGTGGTCCTGCAAATAACAGAGCGTTTCCAATTATGGGATATAAGGCCGGACCATCGAATTTGTTGGCTATTCTGTACAACGACGATCTTGAATTTCGCCATTTCATTACACAACATATAACTAAAATACTTAATACCACTAACGTTAAATACATTTTTAATCAACTCTATCGAATATCAGTTCACTTTATATCAAATCCTTTCATATAAACAAAATGCACTATAAAAGATATATACGAAAAATACCATGTGGATCACTATTCACGCAGTCTGCAACTAGGTAAGAATGTTAATAATTAAGGACGTTTACTTATTTTTCCAACAACTTTATACTGGACTTTGCAGTACTGATGTCATTATCATGTACTAGTTTATGAGCCGGTTTTTGACTTACAGGCTCTCTGTACAATGATAACACACATAATGCAAATATATATATATATATATATATATATATATATATATATATATATATATAGTCGTTATTTAATCTTCACAATAGTAGTTGATCATTAGCCACACACATTTTTCTTTTCGGTTATACCTTCGGTTAATTTTACTCACGGCGATATTCCATTTTCTTTTTGAAGTACGTTCAACCTGTTTGCTTTCTATTTGTATAGAATAATGCATATAATATTAATTTACCAAAAATATTGGATAATTTTGTCTGTTTATTAAGAATTCTATTCTTTCGAAATCATTTTGGTTTTCCATGACAACGTTTTCCCAAGTGTTCTCAGGTTTCATTAAAATTTAAAAAAATATATATTAGAAATATATAAAATATAATATACGCAGTATAAATATATTACAGATACGATTACATTACAGTATTTTTGCTGAAGACAATTAACATCTTTTCCGTGTATAGTAATTAATACAAAGTTTATATTGCATTAATTCAACTCCTTGCATCAATTTATCAAGTTTTTTCTGTCAACTATATACTATATACTATATACTATATATATATATATATATATATATATATATATATATATAGATATATGTTATGTATATATCAAACTTGGAACGTCACGAAGCGATTAAATAATAACAAATAAGAATATTATAATAAAATCTATTCTCTCGAGACGTCATAACACGTTTTATACCTGACGATAGAATTAAGTGCTTCGAACCTATAATTAATTGAACATGCGTAAAATATACAGAGAACTCGTGTTTTTTATGTTAATACAAGCAATTCATCGAGTGACAATGCACAAATCGCATGCACATATATAAATTACATTTTGTAATTCGTAGAAACTTTCATATTGCAAAAACTAGTTTTATAATTCAAGATCAGAGCTTTGAAGATCACACGTAATGTCGAGAAACCACGACCGAAATACAGCGTATACCGTATTTAGAAGAAAAAGTTGAAAACTCTATTAATTAAGCATCACTGCGCGTTTTATGCTCCATATAATTATAATTTTATTACTTCAATTTTTATTTTTATAATTTTATTTGATCATCTCTCTACAAGAGATATAAAAGCAATTGCATGACGTAGAATTGAACAAAGAAAGAAAAACCTAAGATCTGCATCCAGTGATGCAGTTCTTTACAGTATGATATATGGATATTACTTCAAAATAGATTAAAATTGGTAAAAACTTTTCATTTTAATATACGTCCTTTATTCAGATATAAAATTCAGGTTCAGGGTATTCAGGTCTATAGATATAAATTTTATGGGATGTTTGAAAGGTTGTATGAAAAAGGCAAACAATATTTTTCACAAGTTATCAAATATTGTCTTGAGAATATAAAAAATAAATAAAATATAAAAATAAACATAGTTTTAATTGTAGAAGGAGATGAAGTGGAGAATCTCAAAAATTGATTCCTGATCATGAATCATCCGAATTGACACTCCTCATCCGAAGAAGAAAAATATATATTTTATTAATCTAGAATAATGTTTGTATCGTATGAACTATGAACATGTTAGAATAATTGTATTTCACAAAACAGCGTCTGCCTAATTATTACAACTTTTTTTGACATTTTCGATTTTTAAAAATAGTAAAAATAGGAATTTGTGAATGTTCGTAGTTTATACTAAAAAAAAAATCTATGTAGAAGACTCTATAGAAATAAGTAAATCGGTCCAGTAGAATTTGAGAAATCATGGGTATCGATTTCGGAACACGGATCAACCGATTTGAATGATTCAAAAAAAACTTCGATTCCTATTGATAAGTTTTTCGTCAAGGCAGTTTCAAAGATACGGCTGTGCAAAAAGTAGGAATTTTTGAATGTTCGTAGTTTATACCAAAAATTTTGACATTTTCGATTAGTAAAAATAGGAATTTGTGAATGTTCGTAGTTTATACTAAAAAAAATCTATGTAGAAGACTCTATAGAAATTTTAAGTAAATCGGTTCAGTAGAATTTGAGAAATCATGGGTATCGATTTCGGGAACACGGATCAAACGATTTGAATGATTCAAAAAAAACCTTCGATTCCTATCGATAAGTGTTTTGCCAAGGCAGTTTCAAAGATACAGCTGTGCAAAAAGTAGGAATTTTTGAATGTTCGTAGTTTATACCAAAAAATATCTATGTAGAAGACTCTATAGAAATTTTAAGTAAATCGGTCCAGTAGAATTTGAGAAATCATGGGTATCGTATCGATTCGATACCATTTTCGGAAAATGAATCAACCGATTTGAATAATTCAAAAATCAAAAATGATTTGATTTCTATCGATAAGTTTTTCGCCAAGGCAATTTAAAAAACATGCCTGTGCAAAAAGTGCCAAAAATGGCAATTCAGTTTTTGATAGAACGGAGCGTCCGAATTCAATAATTTACAATTTTTGTTACTTGAATTGACAAAATGAAGAACTTATTAAAATCGACTTTTTTGGAAAGGCAGGTCTAGCGGCTTTGGAGATCGAGTGAAAAAAGTAAAAAAAATGCCATTTGGCGCACGAAAATGATCATTAGACATATGCACTTCAAATTATCAAATAATTTATCAAGATTATTATAATAATAAATGTTGTTTACAGTTCTGTGGATTCTGTACCAATGTTTAACTGTTAGACTGCGATGCGGCACTTACGCGCTTCGATATTTCTTCTTTGAAACAGCCGCACCTCACGATTGCTTTCAAAAAGTTCAAAACTTTAAAAAAATATTAAGATACAAATAAAATCTATTTTTTTTTCAAAAATTTGAAAATTCTCACAGATCTCATTTTTTCAAAGTTTTGACAAAAAAAATGTAAAGCTTTTTTTTACATTTTAATTTTTGGTACTGGAAGTTACAGCAATTTGCCTTAAGGCACGATGCCAAGCACCACTAGTTGTATATTGTTTTGAATAAATAATCAAACAATAAACTAAAATGCAAATGATCATTAAAATAATTGAATATGTTAGAGTTTACAGGTCATGTCAGCAGTTTTTTTAACTTCCCGTAGGGCAAGTTATAGTAATCGCAAAAAAATCGAAAATGAAAATTTTTGCATTTCTCGACGTTTCAAAGGTTTCTGAATATTTTGGCATACCTTAGAAAAAATGGATGTATGTGTGTGTGTGTGTGTGTGTTTGGATACAAACTTTCGTCGACGATTTCGAGAACACCGATCTACCGATTTAAATAATTTAAAAAACATTCGATTCGTATTGATAAGGAGACGTGCTGATTAGTTTTTGGTGGAGGCAGGTCTAGCCGTTCCGAAGATACGGGGCAAAAAGTGCCAAAAACGGTAACACAGTTTTTAAGAGAACGGAGGGTCCGATTTTAAAAACTTAAAAAACATTTTACTTGTATTAACAAGATGAAGAATTGATCAAATTTTCATGAAGGCAGGCCTAGCGGTTTCGGAGATCTAATGAAAAAAGTAAAACAAAAGGCCATTTGGCGGTCAAAAATGATCATTAGACATATGCACATCAAATTATCAGATATTTTAACAATAAGTATACATTTTGTTAACATTCCTATGGATTCCATACCAATGCTTATGCGTTAGACAGCGACGCGGCGCTTACGCGCTTTGTCCCTATGCAGTTAAAGCAGTACGATTGTTCAGAAAAAAAAGTTCAGATCTTCCACAATATGTCAAAATAAAGAAAAAAAAAATTTTTTTTTCAAAAAACTAATTTTTTCATTTCATTTTTTCATTTTCATTTTTTTTTTTCAAAAAATTCAAAAATGTTAATCGTTTTTAAAAAAATAATAATTTTTGGTACGGGAAGTTCCAGCAATTTGCCTTAAGGCACGATGCCTTAATTGCCTTAAGACAGAATTCCACTTACGGCTAGTTGATACGGTAGCGTTCTGTAAAAAAGTTCGGCGTTCGTCCGTTTTGTAATGAGCAAATGAGCAAATAGCAACGGGCGGCTAGTTAAATAGATCTCTTTCGTCTAACACGGATGAGTTAGATAGACGTGCGCGTGCTCGTAGTTGTTTTGACCGAGAATCTCCCGAAAATATCCTCGCGATCGTTCAGAAAAGGCTAACGGTGTACGCTGGCGGACATCGCGCCGAGGAGTGCGCAGTATGACATGCGCCATATAGCTCGGAAAAACCACCGCAGTGCGATACGGAAAGGCATCGGAAAGGCTCCCGCTTGACAAGGCGGACAGAATAAGTGTTATAATTGATACAAATTCAACCCCCCCGAAACATTTAGGAACCGACGCTAAAACGTCGTTCCTAAACATCGTTTACTCGAATCAAAGACTAATTTATGAACAGTTCGAAATGTGGTGATTCAGTGGCACGTCTGCAGAAAAACATCACAACTAAACTATTTCAGACTCTATCGAATCCATATAAAAGCTTGCGTTGTATATTTAATAGTGTTCGAAATTAGATTACTTGTTATTATATTATATGCAAAACAAATGGAACCATGTGCCAGGTATATACAAGTTATGTTATATATATATATATATATATATATATATATATATAAGATTTAGACTATAAATATATTATATTTATTTATACATATATTTATACCCATACAAATACGTCATACTTCAAATAATTAGTAATGCGATTTATTTTTATTGTTTTATGTTAAATGATTTTAATTAAAAAATTAGTATATATATATATATATATATATATAAATATAACGAATGTAATTAAATTCATTAGTTAATTTATACGACGTCGAAATTCTAAATTTTGGAGTAAAATAGCAACTTTATATTTTATAAAGATTATTTTTCTGATCGTTTTTTCGATAACGTTTTTGTTTCTCTTAATTATAGATTCCCTTCCCTTTTCAGTTTACAAAGTCAAAGATCATAATATAATATCCATCATAGATAAAAGAAGAGTATATATCAATATATTATGATTCAAGTTAGCATTATATTATGATACAAGTTAGCATTATATTATGATTCAAATATAATATAATATTATTATTCAAAACTTTAAAATTGAAATGCTGTGGATAATTTAGAGAAGTATAAACAATGGGCACAAAGTTATTGCTATGACAATTGTTTAAACAATTTCTGTTTCAAAAGAGTAATCATTTTAAACCAGTTTTTTATTATGAGCTTTATGTTATATATATATATATATATATATATATATATATACAGGGCCGGTCCTGGGGTTCTCAGCGCCCACATGCAAGATTTGTTCTAGCGCCCCCCCCCAATAGTTTTAAATGTTTTAACAGTTTTTCGTTAAAATTATATAAACATTTACGTTATTTTTTTTTGATTAATTTTTAGTCATTCTGGATTTAATACACAAAAAATAGATAAAATCTGAAAGCGTATAAAATACATTGATTTAAATTTATTTAGAAAATCGAGGCGATTCGCGGGTTGATCATAATCAAATATTTTTAAATTCTCAATTATTTCTAATGTATTTGTAATATTAATATTTGGGTTTTGAAACATTTAACTTATTTATTATGCGATTTATTCTATAGAACAAATCGTGCCAAAAAAGCAAAAAAAACTAGTATTTGATTTTTAAACATAACACTCGTATTTCATGTTTTAATTTAAATTAAATTTTCACTATTTACAATATCCAAAATTGAATCGTAAACTTCTCCTTATTGGTATCGTAAGGGCCAATAAAATTAAACTTTTAAATTATTTTTTAAAGTGTCCAAAGATTAGTAAAAGGTGCAAAGAAATTACTTATTCCCTTAACTATACGGGAACAAACAAATTATAATTGTATCTGTATTATTTCTGCATAGTTAATAATTAAATTTTGTATAGAAAAAACTTAAAGGTTTTTGTTCCTAAGTACATTTTGCTTCCATTTTTCATATTTGCTCCATAAACCTAACCACGCATGTCTTCAACATTCAAAGTTCATCAGATGTGAAATATTTGCAACGAAAACAAAAATTACAAGTCAATTTTTCGGAATAAACAAGCCATTTTCTAAGCACTGATTCCCCATTTTCCGTTTTCTGTAGTATAATTAGTATATTTTTCTTTATTAAAGTTCCATTTCAACTAAGTCAGCTTGCCATTTTTCACCAATAACGCCCAATAATTAATTTAAACTTTCGTAGGTTTGCTCTTACGGGGTTGAACACTAAATAATTTTTTTTTCGATTCCACGTTAACTTCAAACGAAGAAAAAAATTAATAAGTACATTAAACAATAATAAGCAAAACAATAATTTACAAATTTGCAGAGTTATTATTTGGTTAATTGTTTCTATTGATATCACATTGCAAACTGAATATGCTTTTTGTGTCACATAGTTAAGTTGAAATATTTAATATAATCTATTAAGTATTCTGGATTTTATATTTGAAAAAATATATAAATAATATATTATAAATTTTATTTCCGAACCTCGTTTTGGCGTGCGCCTGCATTTTTGCATGCATTGCATTCAAGGTAGGACCGGCCCTGTATATATATAATATATATATATATATATATATATATATATATATATGTATGTATATATTATGTTTATATATATATATATATATATATATATATATTTATATATATATATATATATATATACGAGATGTATGTTAAATTTTTATAAGACTGAATCTCATATATATTTATATATATATATATATATATATATATATATATTATGTTTATATATATATATATATATATTTATATACTTTTTGTGTATGAGACATTTTACGTGTGATAAATTTCGAGTATTGATGAAAATATTTTTCATTTTAGGTTTTAATAGAAACTTCATTTTAATATTAAATAATTGCGGAATGTGCTAGTAGTGGATCATCTATTACTCACTATTAAGTTGGGTGAACGAATTTGAGCAGTTGCAATAACAGCTTGATCTAAAATATTTACAAATTCGCTTAGATTTTGCATCCTATTTTGTAAAATTAAAATATACATCCTATATGCGAATCGTGTCAAGAAGTTGAGGCCGTTTAACCAATTCAAATAAAGTGAGCCGCCTGCCTTGTGATGGCAACACCACCAGATACGCCGATAGAAGAGGTGGTGTACGAATTGGAGCCCTCTCGGATACCTAAACCTGTTCCCGTGGCCCTCGAGGATCTTTGTCGCCAGACAAAGTTCACTCGGCAAGAAATTCGCGTCATGTACCGCGGATTTAAAACTGTAAGTGATATAATCAAATTTTAAATATAATATGTAGCCATTTTAGAGGTAGTTTCGTAATGCACCATTGATGGAAGCCTATTGTCAAAAAAACTCGAGCATATAACTTTTATAAGTCACTATTATGCCAATTTATTATCACCAATTCAAATCACAATGGCTATAAGAATATTCAAGAGTTTGGACGTATCGAACAAATCAATTGCCAAAGTTACCAAATGCATAGCAGTTTTTTTTACCATTTTGATCCGTCTGTTGACCAATGGATATGAAAATTTTATCCCTCATGGTTGGTCGTTCTATTTCACGGTTTATGCAAACGGTTTAATAGTTGATTCTACAAATAAACTACAACTTATAACAGACAGACAACTTTGATTAATTATCTGGGTTTGCCGACGATTCCTCTGCTTACCAAAAGCACAGGAACGAAATATAAAAGCTTTTTAAGGCTTTTAGGCTTTTAAGGTTTTGAGGCTTTGAAAATTAATTAATTGAAAACTTGTAACAATGAATCCAAATTGCATCCAATGAGCTAACGTTATAATATCACATTTTGCAGGAGTGTCCCGAGGGCGTTGTACATGAAGATTGTTTCAAAGATATTTATGCAAAATTTTTTCCTCATGGAAGTACGTATATTCAGTCATTTTCTTACTTTATATATATATATATATATATATATATATATATATATATCTTTAAAACCTTACAATTTTGTTACAGATTCTACATTATATGCGCATTACGTTTTCAGAGCTTTTGACGTAAATTGCAATGGTGCTATTAGTTTCCGAGTGAGTAAAATAGAAATATGAAAAAAATAGTCCAGTATTTTTAGAAACCAGACTGTAAATTCTTTTTTTTTTATTGATTGATTTGCCTGCTCTATTATAATACATATTATTATAATTGAATAACAATAACGAATCCAATTGTTTCGTCTGACAATTATTACGACACGTGTGTTATTACATATCTATTAACTCGTATAGGATTTGCTGGTTACTTTGTCAACGTTACTACGAGGCTCAGTGTATGAAAGACTACGATGGACCTTCAAATTATATGATCTAAATGGTGATGGATGCATATCACATGGCGAATTAGGTGAAGTGGTAGCAGCGATACATGAATTACTTGGGAGGCGAGTCCATCAACTGGAAGATGATCGCAAAGCGAGGGAACAGGTACCCATTTAGCTTGAAAACAAAAAATTAATAATATATATATATATATATATATATATATATATATATATATTAGGGTGGTCCTTAAAAAGGTCATTTTCGAATTTCCTTGCTCCCAGGGGCTCAAATGGTTCCAAATAGATAAAAAACAATTCTCTGAAAGGTTTAGCTCTTAATATTAACGTTTAGATAGAGCGCAATTCAATCAAAGTTTGTATGGAAAGAGCATGGTAAAAAATTTGAAAATTAAAAAAAAATGTTTTAGGTATAACTTAGCGACAAATGAATGAGTTTTATTCATTCATTTGTTGGCTAAATTACATCTAAAAAACATTTTTTTAATTTTTGAAAATTTTTCCATGCTATTTCCATACAAAACTTTGATTGAATTGCGCTCTATCTAAACGTTAATATTAAGAGCTAAACCTTTCAGAGAATTGTTTTTTATCTATTTGGAACCATTTGAGCCCCTGGGAGCAAGGAAATTCGAAAATGACCTTTTTAAGGACCACCCTAATATATATATATTATGATGTAAAGTTTACATACATGTTTACATTGTAAACATATATAATATGCGCGAAGAAGCGCTTTGCGATCACACATGAAGAAGGAACAACCAAATGAGTGGGATGAACATTGAAAAGACAATTGTCGCTAGAAATTTGATATTTTTGGCATTTACCGTTTATATCAAGTTTATCTAATAATTATCTTTGGTTGCATAGTGCAAAATACACCTAAGTACGCACATGCATACATTCCGACTTACTATTTTCATAAGATATTGCGAATTATCCAGTGCACATGCGTCATATCCCCTAGTATAAATCCTGCACGAAATAGGTGAATGATATATAAAACTATACTGGTGCATGGCATCGCGCCTTAAGGAAAATTGCTAAATCTTCCCGTAACGAAAACTAAAATTTGTATAAAAACTTAAAAAAAAATTTCAAAACTTTGAAAATATCAAATTTTTCAGAATCATTTCAGAAAAAATTTGACTGTTTTGAAATTTTTTTTCTAATGTTTTAATTTTTTTTTTTTAATTTTAAAATTTTAATTTAGCTACATATAAATATATTACTTAGGTGGACAAAGTATTCCAAAAATTAGATCTGAACCAGGATGGCGTAATAACAATCGAAGAATTTCTTGAGGCGTGTCTAAAAGATGAACTCGTAACAAGATCATTGCAGGTGTTTGATCAGGGCCTATGATGAAACTGGGAAACCAGTACAACCCAGGAAGGTGTTATAAATTTCGACGTGAATTGCATAAGGACTTCCACCAACGGTGACACGTGGACAAAAAATAAATATAACATGACGATGCTGTAATTTACTGGAAAAATCTGTCTTCGGCAACTGGTTCTTAGGTAATTAAAAATTATGTATAGACGTATTTGGCCGCACTTAGAAAAAATGTACGTTTTCAGTTGTTTAATAATTATTTCATACAAACGAATAATCCGTTCATCGCACCAAGATCTATCATCGGCTTGAAATGACTGTGAAATACAAGATGAATCAACTGACTGTAAGTTATTACGTTTTAGACTATAAAAAATTATATTATATTGTTATGAATATTAGAAAAATTATATGGTTATAAATACTAGAAATATTTAAAACTTTAAATGTGGCAAAAAACATTTACAATGTGCATGATAGATAATATTTTGAGAAAATACAATTTTAAAGAAAAGAACGAAAACAAAAATGTAAAAGAAATGATCAAATAAAATATGGAAAAGAGGACAAGTTAGCTCATAGTAATGTAATATATTATGCTTTCATTTGTGGTGTATTATCAAGTTATTGAAAACTACAATATTAAAATTCAATACTAGCAGCGAGTGTGTGATAATTTTTAGAAAACCGCACCTTTTTCAAAAATGATTTCATCATAGTTTATACGAAAACCTTTCAATTTGTGTATTATTCTCGATAACAAATATAATAGTAATTGATAGCGCGTTTTTGCCTGAACAAAAAATAATAGCAAATATCTAAGAAAATTCAACTGAAACCCGTCAGGCTGTATTAGCATTACAATGCATTTGTACTGGATAAGTACGAAGAAAATTTGTGTACACCAATGCGTAATCTAACTATTAATCGCGTAATCTATTCTATATCGGTAAACGACTTCCATATGTACTTTATTTTAGCTATTCAATTTTTGTAAAATAATTCAGAAGTTGATGTAACACCTAGTTCTGCTTGCAGAATTCCTTATAATTAAAATCAAAGTTCTTCTAATGGACCTCTAAGACACTAAGCAATACATTTAAACATATATGTATTTGAATTCTTCGATTTCATTGAAAAAATTTTTGTAAAATAATTCAGAAGTTGATGTAACACCTAGTTCTGCTTGCAGAATTCCTTATAATTAAAATCAAAGTTCTTCTAATGTACCTCTAAGACACTAAGCAATACATTTAAACATATATGTATATGAATTCTTCGATTTCATTGAAAAAATAATAGAATAATTGAATTTATTAACTATAACTCTGTGGAGATCTGAAATGTTGTGCGAGCACTTGACCTCAAATGCTGACAAAACGTAGACGCATTCAATGAAATCGTTTAATAAAAAATGAGATGGATGTTTGTGTCGATAAATATCTAAAAATTGGCCTTCTGAATACGACTATAACAACAAATATCATTTATGAATAACAAACTTTAATAATCTACCTACATTTATTATCTATAAACTGTATAAACGTATGATATTAGGATGTATGTATAACGCTCGAAATCATAACTTATTGCATGTAAGTTATGATAAACTTTAATGTTGTATTGAAAGTAACAAAAAAAAACAAATATATTAATAGAAATTTGTATATAAACTTTTGATGTGATTATCTAAAAAGATATTTTTAGGAAAATATATATAAATAATTATTGACGAAATATTTATGATAAAATTTATATATTAGTTGGAAAATAAGAATTCTAAAATGATATTTTTTGCAACAAACACTTATTATGTACCCGCCAATCTCAAAGTTAAACTGCATTTATTTTCTAAGCTTAATCTTAAGCATTACATCGCGCTGCTAACTGATTTTGCAAGAAGGGAAAAATTGACGTATTAGGTTTTAGTAATATTTAAAATTGTTATTTCAATCTGAATGTTTTTCTGTGTTTGTAATAGTAAATGTATAAAAGGTTTTTGCTCAATGGCTTATATATGTTTGTTCATACATTTATTTTGATAGATGTTGTATTGTAACAGTAAGAACACGCATTTGCTGTGATTGAGCTCTGTTCCGGATTAAGTTTGACTTGGTATAGTCTAATTCTGTAAAAAATACTGATGTATGATAGAAATAATACATAAAATTCAGGCAAGATCAATGCAATTGTTTTATGTAATTGCCTTAAATATATATATATTTAAAAACCTTAAAAATACTTGAGATGCATACAAACTCAAAAATTAATTATTTTAGTTCAAAATAATATTTTAGGAAATACCATTTTTATAAGTTTTATAAATGTTATCATTTGCATCAGTAATTATTACATTTCATCTCAGAGTTAAGGGAAAGCTCTTCAAGCTAAATAACTTAAATAAATAACAAATACTATTTAAAGGATACAATAAAAATCTTTTTTTGTAAATATTTTTTTTTAATCAGTGTTACTAGCTTTTGGTAAAAACTTTATTATTCATGTATATGTTTTTTCGCTTTTAAGCCTTGAATTAAATTCTATTCAGTATTCTTCATAAATTAAAAAAAAAATAACATTTATGTTTCAGGCAGTCAAAAAGTTCGTTTTCATAATTTTTCTTAATTTTCGTAAAATTTAAATTTGAAGTTCGAAATTATTATTATCGTGAGAGGCCATATTAATCAGCCTTTGGAATTTCGCATTCAGTTATTTTCTCACTCATAACACATTGTTTCATATAAGCAAAACATCATTTTCAGATCTTTGAGGGGAAATTGTAATTTCATTATCAAGTAATTACGTGAATTCAATTCAAACTCAAACTTTTCGAAAACCCGGGACAATCAGTAATCCGGGACTGTCCCGGCCAAACCGGGGTATGGTGATCATAATAACATGTAAACGCATGACGAAGCGATCGCTTCATCCGAGCCGTAACTTTCGTATGGCAGTAAAACAAATATCTGTACCTGTTAAATGAGCCTGAAAGGGGTTGGAAAAGTTACCAGATCGACATAACCCAAAAAGGATATAAGTCCAGGTAGGCGTTATCTTCTTATATACAATTAAATTTTGATTGTCCAAATCTATAGTTATGTCCAAAAGCAGAACATCCTTGGATGATGCATTATTACTGTGCAGGCTTCTTTATTTTCAAAAGCAAGTTTGTGCTTCGTTCTTCCCTTTCTGTCCTCTCCTACTGTCGATCTTGGTGGTAACGTCCCGAGAAGAATAATTAGATTAGAAAAAAAATAAAGACATTCAAAGAATTTATTTCCATTTGAACAGTGAAGAGGCAAAACTATATGCGGCGATTCTTTACGCAAGTAACCTCCACAAGTTAGTTGAATCGTTATAAATTTCATTATTGCGCGCATGGCCATCGTAAGGATCTTCCTAGTAAAAGTGCTAGGCCCTCTTTAAAATCTTTTTCTGTCCACTCACTGTTCAAATGGTATAACTGTTAACCCAAATTGAGTTAGATAAACAAGTATAAATCTAGTTTAAAACATTGCGAAAGACTTTGTATTCATACAAAGAATGTTGTTTTCCTATTTTCCGACCACAACTGTTGATGCATTAATAACTAACTTTCCCTAATCCCCTAACATGAAAAACCATAATTATATCATATTAAAAACTCAACAATTACCACGGTATTTCAAAGCTAAATATTTTATGAAGAATTCATAAAATAACATATTATAAACCATTCATTCATTTATTAACTTCTCATATGGTAAGTTAGAATAATCGGCCAAAAATCGAAAATGAAATTTTTTGCGTATCTTCACGTTTCAGTGGTTTCTGAACATTTTAGCATACCTTAAAAAAAGGATGTGTGGGTGTGTGTGTATGGGTGTATGTGATATGTATATATGTATGGATACAATTTTTGTCGACGTTTTTGGGAGCACTGGTCAACCGATTTGAATTATTCAAAAAGCATTCGATTCCTATTCACAAGGAGACGTGCTGATTAGTTTTTGGCAAAAAGTTGGTCTAGCCGTTTTGGAGATACGAAGCAGAGAGTGCAGAAAATAGAAATCGAGTTTTTGAGAGTACAAAGCATCCGATTTGAATGATTCAAACAACATTCAATTCATAATGATGGGGAGAAATGGTGATTAAAAACTAATCACAATTTCTCCCCATCATTACGCATTACGCAAAGACAGGTCCAGCTGTTTCAGAGATACAGAGCTAGATGTGCAAAAAATGTCAATTTTTGAGAGAACGAAAGATCCGAATTTAATGATTCAAAAAATGTTTTGCTTGTATAGACGAAACAATTATTTCTTTTTTTCTAATTTTCAATTTTTTTTTTTTTGAATATCGAAAATAATTCGGATTATAAATTTAATTTTAGCTAAAATTCTAAAACGCACTAATATACTTGATAATTTTAAGTTTGATATTCAGTTCATATAATTCTTAGAAATATGATATAAGGTCCTTCATTCTAACTCCGCTTTTCATTCCGTTTCATGCAAACTTATATAAACATCATTGTCTAATTCATAAGCTCTTATATTTTGTCTATACAACATGAATAATAAAAGTTACAGTATTTAGAATAATATATTTGAAAACATTTAATATTCTTCGAATATTTCATTACGAAAAGAAAGTTCCAACAATTTGCTTCAAGGCACAATGTCAAACACCACTAACAACAAGATGCACTACATTATAAAACACTAGAAACGCCATAAATCGCTGCTATGTAAGTTTAGTTTTGAAAATTGGATATAAATACAAGTCATTTTTAAATTTCTCAACGTTAGTGATATATAAATTCGTTTTGTCTGCTTCTAAGTTCACTAAGTATGATTCTAAATTTGTGTCATATTCAGTTTTTTCATCTGAAATAAAAATGAAATCATTACTTCATTCAATATTTGTAACAATAAATATTCAATAAATACCTAGACATGAATCGGTGGATGCTAACACGAGCTCAGTCACTGAAAAAAATATTAGATTCAATTACATCTCAAAAAATATTTATCAGTAATGTTTTTATTCATTCAGAGCTCTAAATATAAATAAAAAATCTATAAAAAACTTATAAGTTTATCTATAATAAACATGATTCATTTAAATTTTGACTAATCACATTTCCTAAGTCTGTAAAATAGGTCAATCAGATGTATATACAATATAAATGAAACTAAAAATTAACACAAACAAATATTTGTTTTGTTTTACAATTACGTTGTTATCATAGAACAAACAACAATTAAACTAAAATAAAACTTAAAATTTTTATCTTAGAATTTTGAGTTTGATGAAGTCAAAATGAATGAAATACTTCATAATTTTAATCAGAAAGGTTTGGTTACCTTTATCCAGATGTGAACTTTTATCTTCAGAAGGCTTATGCCCAAGAACCTGAAAGGAAACTTTCCTGAATGAGGCCCCGCCAACTGTGTGTTCATCAAACCACTTGATGATTACGTCTAACGTTGTATTTTTAATAAACTCCACTTCTTTGTATAATCTATCAAATATATATTCGCCTGATGTTATTTCAGACCAATTGCGAGAAACTTCTTGACTTAAATCTACATCTGGGCATTGTTTAATTCTTATTAAAGAATCTTGAAAGTCTGCATAATCAGCAGGAGATAATTTCAACAAAATTTGCTTGAAATCTGTTAAAAATGCTTCAATACGTTGATTTATGTATTGAGGTTCAAATTTGTCAGCTTGATAATGTACAGTTACAGAAAAACCCAGTACTCCAAAGAAATCACTCATATCACATCGAACGTCATATCCCAATTGTTCTTTAGTTCTTAGGACGTCAAAAATAGGCTCTTCCATAATTGCCTGAAATATAACTAATTAATTTAAAAATAATATAAATATTTTACAAGAGAATATAGAGCAAATTAAAAGGTTTGTTAATTGAATTCAATATTAATTTGCAATAAAGATAAATACATTAAAATACTTATGTGATAAGATGCTTAATAATTATTACCATTAATAATTCCAAAATTGCATAATCTACCATGTTCAGTTTTCCTACTTGATAATAATTCATAACAACGGAATTTACATCATCCTTGTTTAAAGACGACATGCAAATGATTCTTTCTCCTTCTGGAATTTGCACTACTCTCACCTGTAAAATAAAAAGTAACAATTAGCACCCACACTATTTTCTTCAATACAAAAAATTATGAATTTTAGGAAAGTATAGTGATGAGCCCTAGTAACAGCAATTTTATCATCAGAATTTCATGGTTCTCAAAAGCTATTGTAAAAAACTTTACAGAAATGATACATAGAAAATTATCCTTAATATACATTTTTATCATACTTAACAAAAAAAAAAAAAAGAATATAAATATCAATTTGATAATATTATCCTTCAACCTCATTCATTTTACTTTTATGATTGTATCTCATTGAAATAAATAACGATTTAAGAGATTATTGAAATTTTTTATTATATTGACTTTTTATTTTCAGTTCATTTTTTTTAATTATATATTTTCATCAATTAATAATATCAGATATATGAGAAATGTAAAAATAAAATTAATTATATAATATAATAATATTATATACAAATACATTTTCTGGTTGTAATAAAATTCCAAGTTGATTCTAAGTTTATTAATCATTTGGATTCTCTCTATATATTCCAATAAATTTGAACCATTTATAACTTGTTTTATGAAGTACTTTTTGATATATTTTCAAAAACTTACCAATGGTTTTGCACTATGTGGAAGTTTCTCCAGACCTAGAGGACTAATTGTATTATTAATCACTTGCTTGGCTATCAAATCTGACATATTTCCTTGAACTAAGCATTTAATTTTCATTGATTTTAATATATCTTTAGAAAAATATTGCATATCAACATACGAAATCTAGAATGAAAACAAATTAGTAATTTTAACTGTTTTATGTGTGAAAAAAAATCAAAAATACCTCTTTTAAAGCAGCAAATCTATCTAATGAACTCCAAAACATTTGTCGCAATGCACTCGAGCGAAGATCTCTGTTTCAAAACCAAGATATTCGTAAGTTATCAACAATACATTCCAATCACCTAAATGTTCTAAATCAAAAGTAGCTTTTACTTTTTTAAAATTAAAACTTACTTAATCAGGCGAGCAGGTTTAATAAAATAATTGTGATAATTCTTTAATTGTTGTTCTTTTATTATTTGAAAAATTTCTGGAGTAAACTTTGAAAGCAATGTATTCATTGTTTGAATAATCAAGTTGAAAAGCATCTAAAAAAAAATCCCATAAAATTAAATAAAAATAAACTTAAACACTATTCTAAAATAGTTTATATATATATATATATATATATATATATATATATATATATATATATATATATCTTGATTTAATAAATTAATGGCAATTGTAATAATTCACCACTTCATTCATATTATACTGCCATGTGTAGATATTGATTTGCATTTGAGCTGAGCTACCTAAGTTCAAAATTGTAAAGATATAAGCAAAACTTATAAAAACTACAATAATTTTCAAATACTGCAATGTACCGGCAATTTCTCATTAAATCCATCAACTTTCACAATAAAACCTTTAGTAGCTGCATATATTGTATAATTCAGATGTGCTGCAACTGCTGGGTATAAGGTTTCCACCAAAACATGCTTCAATATGTACACGTACAGATCCACCAATGCAGCACTAAACAATAACAAAATAATTAATATGAAATGACTTTCCAAATTTTCTAAAAAAAAACAACATATATTATTAATATTTGTAATATAAGATTATTATTATAATGATGACAAAATAGTTGATTTCATTTAATATGTCCCATACATACTGTTTAGCAGAATACTGCACTAAAGGCGTTATAAAGTAAAAATACATATGAGCTTTGGGAAGCTTGAAAATATTGTCAAACTTATGCCAGATCCCTAAAATAGCATCACAATGAACTTGAACAGGCATTACAGGTATATCTTCTGGAATCTGCATTATACTAAAATCAGTCGTAAGAAAGTTACTGACATTTGGCAACTCAAATTCTGGATAAATCTGAATGCTTTTCCATGCCTCAATCCACTGAATAGGAATATCTATCAAATACAAAATGTATTACCAAAAATATATGCTTAAATTTAAATTAACAATGTTTGTCAAATCATATATCTCATCTTCATTATAACATATATTGAAGAACTGAATAGGCAAATTATATTTACCTCGGCTAAAATATTTAGTTGAAAACCAAGGTTCCACTTCATTATAAACATCATCATTGAGAGTTGAATCTAGAACAATTATATTCACAGATTCTGCATTAAGTCTATCTAAAACTTGAAATATATAATCTGAACTATATTCAAACATCAATTCAGATCCAGTAAGATAATCTTTAGGTGCATATAATTGCATGTTCTCAGAAATATCTTCAACGTTATCTACAGCATCAACTTCTTGGGCATATTGAAAACCTATTTCATCTAATAGTTTTATATCATTGAACATTTTCTCATTCACACCTTTCCGTCTAATCAATTCTAAATATGCAAACACTGCATGGAAGATCTATGAAAAAATATTTACATATTTAATTATATATATATATATATATATATATATATATATATATATATATATATATAACACTAAACAATGTAACAAAGTAACAAAATTGTCAACTAAATATATATAGTTTCAAATGTTTCAATTATTAATATCTAGACTTCACAGTGTGTAATAGTGTTGTGTAATTATGTGTAATTTATTTTCTTTGTTATACTGAATGACAGTCTCGACAAAGACCGAAATGTATGGTAAAGTAAAAAGTATGACAATTGCTTTAGTTTTATATATATATATATATATATATATATATATATATATATATATATATAAGCACAATGAATATTTATTATATATATTTTGCATTAATGTATTTATTTTGTATTGATAAATTCCTAACAAGAATATTAAAGATGTACATACATGTTCTAAATTCCTCATACCATCTTCAGTCAACACCATGGTCACTCCAAATAAACAATATAAAGTATTATGTTCTGAATCTGCTTCACTATTACCAGCTTCAATAGATATTGCCCACAATCTAGAACATAAAATAAAAAAATAAATTCGATTATTCAGAAAAAAAAACTATATTATAGGTGTATTAAATAACTCGACCATAAAATATTATTCGAGCATAAATCTTTTTCTCTCCGCTTGCTGCGAATTACTTTTAATTTTTGTTAAGTAGATTGTACATAAGCAGAATTTTACATTCCTTTTCATGATAAAAGATGATCATGAATAATAAATTAAATAAATAGAAAATTATTAATTTAATATTATAATATTAAATTAGAATATATAATTTTATATTGAAAATTTAATATTTTCATGTAATAAAATCAATTTTTTTTTAAGTCAATATCATACTTCTTGCGTAAATATGCCAACAAACTTCCAGTCCCTTCGTACCCCAGAATCCATGATACATAAGTATGTGGTTTATAGCGATAAATGCTCAAAAGAGATGGCATGCTCCATGTTAAGTAAACCTGCAAATAAACTCTCGCATGATATACTTTATAATAGAAAGTATGTGCATGTAGTTGCTTGATTATAAATATATGAAATATATAAATGCTTATCCAAATCCTTAACCTTCTACTGCTGCTTTTACATGAGTTACAAATATTGAATTTCAATGTCTATGGCATCATGTGTACTCAATAAATAAATTGTAAATTAGAACTAACTCGGTGTTTTTCAATAAATCCTTAAAAATATATAAATTACTCACCTTGAAAATATTTCCTATAGGTTTCATGTAATAAATCTTTTTGAATTTTTCTGTGTCGAAAGAAGATTCATCAGCAAACTCTTTGAAATTCAGTGCCTCAAGATTATTATTTGGTACATTAGATAATATATTTACTACCATTTTCTGAAGCTCATCCAAAGACTTCTTAGACTAATTTTTATTTAAAAACAAATGTACAATTATAGATTTATAAATAAATAAATAAATAAATATATATATATATATATATATATATATATATAAAATGGGAGCAGAAGTTTGAAAAACAAAGTAAACTGCCTTTGAACAGAACACCAAATAAAAAAGAAAAATTGTATATGAATATTACAAGTAAAAGTCATTCCAACTGATTTTAATATTTACATTTTGATTTAACTTAATAAAAGCTCTTTAAAAGTTATACTAAGTCTATTTCACAAAGTTTTTAGAAAATTTCAAATAATAATAATATAGCTAATAATTTAATATAATAATGATATAGCTAATTTCAATCTAATATATTAGCTGGATATTTTTTTTTTTTACCTGCAGTGCCAGCGTCATTCTGTTACTAGAGTAATGCCTAACTCGAAAAGTATGTAAATGATTGTGCAAAACTTCATCAGTAATATTTTTTTGCAATGATACTTCATTTCCCCATGAAAAAGTCCTAGCTGGATGCCCATCTCTTGCCAAGCTCAGTAACAGTTGTTCAACACGATCCTCATTACTTTGTGTAGCCATCTGAAACTCTTATAAAAAATATCAGAACATTTGAAGGTTTATAAAATGCTTTTGAATGCATTTTATGAAATAATCATTTATTATATATTCATTGTTACAAATATTTCAGATATATTTGTATTGCTGCGTTAATATGTTATCAAATTTGAAAAAAATGATAATAAAATATCAGCCTAAATTTAAAAATTTGTTTAATACTGTATTGCAGCAATATAATGTATCCGATAAATTTAAAAAACTGTCACTTTTACCAGAATTAACTGCCTTCCTCTCTCTGGTCATGGCTTCTTGCTTTAATAATGGTTCAATAAAAAATTGAGCAAATTTAAATAATGTTTCCTCAAGACTTGATTCTTTGACCTCAAAATAGAAAGTGGTATTTTCCATACCAGTATGAGCATTACTTGAGCCACCTTTCCTCTGAATTTTAAAGCAAATGCAAAAAAGGAGAAAACTGTATTAATACTAGTAAAAAGAGATATCGAACAGAGTATTTTAACTAAATCACCTTAACAAAAGCTTCAAAATCATTTTCAGAAGGAAAAGCCTTGCTTCCCATAAAAACCATATGCTCTAAAAAATGGGCTAGACCCTGAACATCATGAGGATCACTAAAGGATCCTACACCAACTGTTAGCGAAGCTGCAGCCAATTTACTACTTGATTTTTTTTCATTCACAGAATGCAGCGAAGTCATCTAAAAAAATAAAATAAGACAAATATTTATGCCTCAAAATAGAGGTACTATATTGAAGATAAAAATTTTCATCTGCAAGGAAATATAAGGTAGCAAATCTGTTCTCAAGTTTTGTAAAAACTATTTTGATAAAAAAATACAACTTCTAAAAGCAAAATTATAATTAAAATCACATTTTTTATAATTGATTTAAATTAAGCGCAGCACAACAGATTTAAATTAATCAATTAGCCTAATAAAAGTGTCATACAATAACTGTTATATATATATATATCCATATAATACATAAGGCTGTGATTCAATATTCATTGTTTACGTGTAGTATTATAACATTTTTTCTATTATATTTTATATACTCTAGTAAGATTTTTCCTGATCTTTTCTTGTTTATTTAGAATCATACTATCAAAAAAAGCAGTAAAAACATCTAATATTGATCTGTATATTGAGATTATCAAGACTGCAGTATATTATAAAATGATTGTTATCCATATAACTCACGCTGTGATCAGAAGCATCACTTTCTATTGAGCAAGAACTCAATTCATCTTCAGATTCATCTGAATCACTACAGGAAGATTCAGAATCAGATGTAACAGCAGATTGGTCAGAGATCAAAAGAGCGATTAAATTGTTAGACAATTTTATGGTTCTGAAAACAAAACGTCATATGAGCTATGAGTACATAAACAAATATCATTCAACAGTAATTTGAACGGAATACAAAAAGAATAAAGCTGAGATTGAATTAGTGGAGTATTAATCATTAAAATATTCATTATATATATATATATATATATATATATATTTATATATATATATATATATGATGATAGTTTTGTCGACGTTGATACATATTTGTAATATTTTTGCAACATAAACGTCAAATTAAAAAAAAGATTAAATAACAAAATTATTCATTCCATTAAACGTTTCGACACTTGATGTGTGTCATCATTCAGTAATCTAAAAAATATATAACATAAATACACAGTTGATGATAAATATAAATATATAAAAGGAGAAAATTATACATACCAAACCAGGAAAAACAACAGAAAACATTAATTATAATATAAAATTGATTGAACACTAAATTTGTGTAAAATAATAAAATACTATTATATTAACAAACGAGAAATAGGAGGAGCACATAATGCCCTCCTATATTTGATGTTATTGATAGCATTGCATTGTGGGCACCGTTCAAGGTTAAAAGTACAACGCAGTGTAACACTATAAAAAAAACATAAACTAACAGAATAAATATATTAAATAAATATTGAATAAATCTATATATAACTATAGAATAGATATATAAAAAAAACATAAACTAACAGAAGCAAGTCGATTGTATTGAAATATATAAAGTAATTTAAATTCTACATTGTTTTGATGCTATTTTTGTTATTCTAAATAATTTACTTCAAACATTACCAAAAATCAATGAGATCTTTTATAATTAGGTAACTGCATTTGATAGAAATACAAAGATTGAATGTCTTACCGATATAACTTCTTATCACTAGCTGATTTTACTGGTGAGTCCAATACTTTGCACATATATTGGCTTTTGATACTTCTTCGTCTTACTGGCAATGTTCTTGCTTTAGATTTCTTGTTTGGTTTATTCGAAGATGATGTTCTCTTAGGCATTTTGATTAAACTATTAAACTTTGAACAAAAATTAAATAAAGAATTAGAGTACTTAAGTAACATTAAGTGAAATAAAATTATATTAAAGTTAAATGAGTTATTTTGAGTAATATGTAAAATGACACATATTTATAAGTGAAAGAGAAGCTAAAAGATAAAGATTATGATATTAAGCAATGTGTAAAATAAATCACCCTATATATAAACAATTTACAGTAGATTAATTGAAATATATAAAAGCATCAAAAAGATTTGAGTTACTCTTTCAAAGTAAAATTTAAAATAATTCATCCACAAACAGTTCATTCCATATTTATAATATTTTTAACTAATAGAGGTTATGCAAATGTGAGGTTAGATTATGTCTCAAACTTACAACTGCTTACAACTGACAATATCAAATATCGATATTTCGAAAATGATAATCTGCCATGTGCTGTCTTCATAGACTTTATATATTACATGGACTGCTAATCAATGGCTGTCATGTAATCATGCTAACAAAAATTTAACTGTTTTTTCATTAATTTTATTTTGTTCATTGCCGGACTAAACTTTCTACCGCCCTAGGCCCTGTCAAATCAGGCGCCCTTTTTAATAGACAAGATTTTAATTTTTATATACACAACAAATATTTTTATATTAAATTACTTATCGTTAGATATAATTTTTGACTTCCCGAAAGATAAGTTATAGTAATCGCAAAATAATCGATAATGAAAATGTTTGCATAAATTCACGTTCCAAGATCAAAGGTTCGTTCTTTCAAAAACTGAGTTTCTATTTTTGGCACTTTTTGCTCCATATCTTTGAAACGGATAGACCTGGTTTTGCCAAAAACTAATTAGCATGTCTTCCCATTAGCAGGATTGAATATTTTTTGAATCATTCACATCGGTTGTTCCGTGTTCTCAAAATCGTTGACAAAAAATTGTATCCGCACGTATATACAAACACACGCACATATATCAATTGTTTCTAAGGTATGCCAAAATGTTCAGAAACCGCTGAATAAAGGTATGCAGAATTTTTTTTTCGACTGCGAATCCTGTTCGCAACGTGAGCGTGGTTTGCTTCGTTTGCAATAATTTAGTCTGCGCACCACCTGCGCACATTGCGAACAGATTCGCCGTACGGTTTCGTGCAATGGGGATGAGGCATTACATTCCAAATAATAAATATAATTATATGAATATTATTAACTTATTGTGCTGAACTTATGTCCTAGGTTAATAATATGTTCATTCCCTAGACAATATAATTGGTTCATTCTTTGCATTTATTAGCTTATAAGCATATTAAAATGGTGAATAGAAACATATTAACTTGATATCATATTCAAATTGAGCAAAATATGTTTAAGTGAAAAACAAATGTTTTAAATGAAATTAGTATACTTATCAGTATTATATGTATATTAGATAACTTACAGATCAGGATCAGATGAATATATTTATTTATGGGTGAATATATATATTTTTTAGCAGTAGATTAATCTATTAAAAATCATAATTATGTTGATGTAAATAAATATATAATTGAAACTGAACGTAATTTTTAACGCACATTTGTTTGCATGTAAAGCGTAATTTTAATTATAAATATTTTAATTTATTACAATAAAAGAAATTATTATAATAAAAATAAATTTATTGCACAAAACATGTTATTAAATAATAAATTAATACAAAAATATTATATAAATATACAATAACATTTAACATTAATTATCCTATTACATATAAATTGTTCCAATCACTCCAGTTTAATATGTTGCAAATTCAATGAAATCATTTACTAATATGCTAATAGTAAGTCATGCAATATTTTTAAGTAAATAAAGCACAAAACAAAAAATAAAAAGCCCTGTAAATATTTTCAAGTGAATTTGCTATAAATACAATAAAGTCCATAAAAAACTTTTCTCAATTCCCTATATTGTGAGAGCTTAGAATACAACCACCATTGACTTAATGCATAAAAGATATTAATTTGATTTGATATTATTTTAACGTATGGAGAAATAACATTATTGTTATTTATTTTGATATTCATTTAAAATGTTGTATTTATTTTTATATATATTAAACTTTTTAAAACCCTTCAACACAGTTGGCGACCTACCACAAAAAGCAGAAGAGATTTTGATTAAACGCAATTCCAAACATAGAAAATGTTTCAATGGTCGCAAAGTAGATCGTCTTAAGGAAGAAAAAAACATTCGACAATTTATTCTTGTATGAACATGGAAAACTGCAATAGAGAACAAACTAGAGTTTGACTTAACCAGAGTCTGGTATCTTTCTTTATAGGAAAATTCATTTTATTGTTGCGAGGGAATTTAAAATAAATATAAAAAAGTAATAGTTAAAATTCAAAAGTATCATCTATTTACTTTGAATATTTTTCTATGAGTGTTTAAAATTAATAAAAACTATTTCGATCAAATGTTTATCAATTTTTAACTTTTCTCATATCAACAACACATCACACTTCTTAAATATTTCATAAAAATTACTCATCGCCAGCAAAATAAAAGTATTATGAAGGTTGATATAAATGCCCTTTTCATAACTATATATATAAGTTTTCTTTTAATTCTAATTAGTATATCACAATTACTTGGTAATAATAAGTAAGACATTGCACAGGATGATAAATTCTATACTATAGAAATTTAGTTATCAGAACCAGTCGGAGAGCCTCTTTTCATTTCACTAGATGGTTAAATAATAATTTTTACCATTTCAGAGTCTGCAGATATGTTTTAAAATATTTCTATAATAAAAGTATCTGTGACAATGTCGTTAAATATTGTGAGTGGTAGCTTTTTCTTCTATGGTGCGTAAAGGTAATTTCCATTATCCGGTAGCCTTGGCGCGGCCCTGCAAAAAAAATATATAGATGCAAAATATGATATATATATATATATATATATATATATATACTAGCTGTACCCGTTCACGGTTTGCCGTGATTTAGTTTAAATTAAAAAGTTGAACAAAGATGTGTATTTGTTGCATGTAGTTTAACGTTACTACTATCTGTTCAACAATTTACATATTTAACAATTTGTCTACGAATTTACCTATAAACTTGCTAATCAATTTACCATTTTACCGACTTACCAATTTACCTGTCAACCTATTTACCTATCAACCCGTTTCACATGTCGACCAATTTACCTGTCAACCTGTTTATCCGTCTTGTTATTTGTCTATCTACCAGTTGTTCTGTCTACCATTTTACATATCCTCCAATTTACCTGACCAACAGCTATCCAACAAATTACTTTTTCACCAATTTACTTGTCTACCAATTCACATGTCTATCAATTTACCTGTCTACGAATTTACCTATCGACCTGTTTATCAATACACCATTTTACCTGTCAACCAAATTACATGTTTTCCAATGTACCTGTCATCCCGTCCTAAATGTCTACCAATTAACCTGTCATCCGGTTCTGAATGTCTACCAATTAACCTGTTCAATAATTTACCTGATAAACAATTAACCTGTTTAACAATTTGTCTACTGATTTACCTATCAACTGTTTATCAATCTACTATTTTACCGGCCTACAAATTTACCTGTCATCCCGTTCTACATGTCTATCAATTAACCTGTTATCCTGTTTATTTGTCTATATATTCGTCTAGATACCAGTTCTTCTCTCTACCATTTTACGTATACCTGTGCACCAGTTTACCTTTATAAATTCTCTAATTTACCTTATTTATTTACGTATTATAAACATTGATTCTACGTTTTAGTTAGAAAACGTACGTTAGAGACGATTTTTTCTCGTCATGAGACCATCCTGGAACTTCAACGAACATTTCAAAAAAAGAATTGGCCAAATTGGTCCAGGCGTTGTTGAGTTATGCGCTTACCAACACATTTTGCGATTCATTTTTATATATAAGATAAGACATATATAATATTTTGTATATTGACTGATTAATAATTAAAAACATAAAAGTTTTTGAGCAGGCATCTGTCCATTTATTAAAACTGAAACGAAATTATGTTTTAAAAGTTTAACGAGATGTTTGAAACAAACATATTTTATTAGTTTTTTTTTAAATATATCGTCATGATTGTTGTCTATTATATAATATTTTTCAAATCAAATTAATTCTTTTTCACGAATATGACTATTAATCAAGCTTTTTTTTTATTTTGTATGATTTTTTTTTAAAAAGTTTAATTCAATAAAAAAAGTCAAACTGTGACTCGAAACATAAAGTTCAGAATATATATAGAAATGTGTTGTTTTTTGCCGTTTTTTTTAAAAAAATTATCACCTGTTTTTTTATCCCACAGACGCGGTAAAATGCGAAAGCCAGGAACAAACAGGTCCAATATCTTATTTTTAATTTTAAAGAAATTTTAAAGGGAATAATAGTTCATCATTCAACCAATGCAAAATATAATATTCATGGCTACATTTTTTACAGAGATAATACTGTATATAACTTTGATCTGGAATTTCGTAACACGTATTAATAAGTGACTCGTATTTACCACTTTAAAAAATTTAATAAAATTTTGTTTCACTTGTTATTCTGTATAAATTCTTGATTTTTCACTGAGGTTCTCCTTCCATGCCAAAGCATATACTTAACAATTCTAATTGTAAGTTAGAAACACAATCGCTATATCTTGAGGATAATACATTTATGCCAATTTTTTGTTGATAATTTACTTACTAAAATTAAACTTAACTTACTTATATCGTACAATAAAATATTTTTACTATTTTTAAGATAATCTTTACCAAAATATTTCGGCATGTACATTAACATATGTGCATGACAGATACATGTAATATTTTTTCCTTTGCGATAAATACATAAATGCCTAAATTAGTCCGCATTAATTTTCGATCCAAATAAAAAGTACCACGTTTTTCAAAGATCAGATTTGTATCGTTCACAAAACGCTCGCACAGAATGCATTATGGTTTCTAAAGGGCTTCAATATTCACTTTCTCACAATGTGTCACTAGATAACTATTATATTTAAATATGATTATGTATACTTTATACTAACTTTTTTAAATACCGTTCATGAAGATTTAAAGTAAAAGAAAACTAGTGGGGTGGGTGGCATCGTGCCTTAAGGCAAATTGCTGGAACTTCCCGTACCGTAACGAAATGTTCGAGGAATACTGAATGTTTTCAAATAGATTATTATTAATATTGTAACATTGTCTAAATCTAATATTTATAAGAATTATATAAACTGAATTGCAAAGTTGAAATTATTTGTTTAAAGTGTATTAGAACTATAGTCAGAATTAAAAATAAAATCTGAATTATTTTCGGTATACAAAAAATTAAAAAAAAAAAAAAAAAAAAATGGGACAAAATTTTTTTTTCCAAAATCAATTATTTTGTTAAGACAAGCAGAAAGTTCTTTGAATCATTCAAATCGGACGCTTAGTTCTCTCAAAAACTGCCATTTTTAACATATTTAGCTCCGTATCTTCGAAATGGCTCGGCCTGCCTTTGCCAAAAACTAATAAACACTTCTCCCAATCATTACTAATTGAATGTTTTTTAGATCATTCAAATCGGATACTCCGTTCTCTCAAAAATTCGATTTCTATTTTCTGCACTCTTTGCTCCGTATCTCCGAAACGGCTGGACCTGCCTTTGCCAAAAACTAATCAGCTCTTTTCCCTATCAATAGGAATCGAATGTTTTTTGAACCATTCAAATCGGTTGATCCGTGCGCCCTAAAACGTGACTGGAAATTTGTATCCATACATACATACACACACACACACACATACACACACACACACATACACACACACACACACATCCATTTTTTCTGAGGTATGCAAAAACGTTCAGAAACCTTCAAAACGTCGAGAAATGTTAAAATTTTCAATTCCGATTTTCGGCCCATTACAATAACTTACCCTACGGGAAGTTAAAAATACTCATGATTTGTCACGAGTCACGCAATTATATGGCAGCTTAAATTGGTTTTAGGAAAGTCCGAGGTCCGAACGATAACGCAGGATCCGGGAAATAGTTATAAAAATGTTCACATATCACATATGCCTTCTAATAATATATATTAGAAAGTTACTTGTTGTGATGACTTCAAAATGAATACCCTTTTAGTGTTTATGTTTTAATTAAGATATTTAAAATTTAGACTTTTTAACGTAGAAAAGCAATAACTCCTTAGTAAAAGTATCCATCTGGCAACAACATTTATGCTGTTAATTTGTATTTGCAAAAATAATCTCATTTTAAAAAATAATATTTTCCGTAGTTTATTTTCTATCAATTGTAAGAAAATCATCAAATGCACCGTAAATCTCAGACCTTTATGTTTACTTATCTGTGTCTCAGACCTAGGACATGATCGTTCAAATCATCATAGAGCAAATATGCCATTAAAAATGTAGTAGATTTTATTTACATAAATGTTTTGTTGAAACTCTTACGCATACAAATCATGAGAAATATTTGAATAAATATTAAATAATTTTTTAAGCAAACTGTCCGGCTGCATATACATAAAATATACGTGCTCTTATATGTTTTGATCTAGTGTAAACTCCATTGCTCTTCTCACTCTGCCATATCAATATTTATCAAACTTCGAAGCCATAAGATATTATACTATATGTAATGTAAATTGATTGGTCTACTTCAGCATTTAGAAGTTCCAACTTTAGTTCCAACAGAGTTCGTTTAGGAGTGCGACATGGGGTAAATTATTAAAATCGCAAAAAGTTGGAAATATTACACTTTTTTCTATAAAATAGCTATTTTGTTATTATTATTTTTTAGTGAAATAGCTATTATATAGTAAAAGCATATGCACTTCAACTAATAAGATTTATGACAATTTTTTTTTAAAAATATATAGGATAGAGCGGGATTTAAAGGGCTGCCGGTAATAAGGTGTACCACCGATATCTCAAAAACAAGTAGAGCTAAGAATGTTTTAACAACAATATTTGAAAGTAAAGAAAAAAATATGTTTAACCAGCCATCATCTTGATTCTTACAACGTTGCTATCAGGATAAAAACGTCAATGTGTATATTCTTTCTTTGTTAGTTTTTTTGGTTGTGAGCACTTTTGTTTAATTTACCTTAATATAACTTTTAAGTATACGTTATTTAATTGTTTCATAAAATGAATAGTTAATTTCAAATTATATTCAATAGTTTTTATTATATAACCTATATAAAAGCTTTCATGTTTGTGAGGCAAAAAAGACCAAAAACCTTTTAAGTTATATTCCACAGTTTTTATTATATAACCTATATAAAAGCTTTCATGTGGGTGGGGCCAAAAAGACCATCTATTAAAAAAAGCAATTTTATAAGAGATAAATTAAATAAATAATTATTTCAACCCTGCTGATGACATTTCTGACAAAATACCAGATCAGGGTTATTTACAGTGTTATTTCTGTAAAAAATGCACAAATAAAATTTATATTTTACATTGGTTGAATATCGTAGTAAATATTTTGTAAAATCCCTTCAAATTAAAAATAAAACGTTGAATCTGTTTTCTCCTTAACTGTCCCAATTTATCCCGGCTATGGAGGTGTACCGCATGTTGACTTAAGCAATATTATTGTGAAAACCAAACCAATTATATCACAACAAATAACACATATAAAAAAATCTACTATCTGACTATGATCAGTAAAACTCTCCGCATTGTAGAGATATGCTTTTTTGCTGTTTTTCAAAAATTTGTTATCTAGTCCTTTTTACCCACAAGTCAAATGTCTTATTTTGAATTTTCAAGGGATTTTACAAAACTATAGCTACATTATTCAATTAATATAAAATATAAATTATGTGAGTACATTTTTTGGTAGAGAGATCTGGTATTTCATCAGCAGAGTTGGAATAACTATTTATTTACTTTATCTCTTGTAAAATTGCTTTTCTAACTTAATTTACTATTTTTTATTGTTTACACCTTTGCTAGGGTAAAGGTTCAGTTGGTCTGTTTTGCCTCACTCATACTTTTATAAAGGTTATATAAGAAAACTGTTGAATCTAACTTAAAATTAACAATACATGTTATAAAACAAATAAATAACAATTACTTAAAAATTATATTAAGGTCTCGTCAACTAAACAACAGTGCACGCAAACAAATAAACTAACAAAAAAAGAAAATACTTTTGTTATGGATTTTCAAATATTGCCGTTATCTCCTGATAACAACGTCGTAAGAATCATGGTGATGGCTGGTTGTACATCTTTTCTCTTCTACTTCCAAAAATTGTTGTTAAAAAATTCTTAAATTTGCTTGTTTTTAAGATATTGGTAGTGGACATTTTCTCCCGCGGACCTTTAAGCCCTGCTCTACCATATATATGCATATACCATATACACCTAAGTCTGTTTTTACACGGTCTTTTTGTACACGGTTTTGATATAACACGGTTTGAAAATTGAATATTTTTATTTTTTTTGCACGATTTTACTCCATTTAGCACGATTTGAAATATTATGTAATCAATTTTTTTTTGTCAAATTTAATTTTTGCGAAGTATGTTCATATCACAAAAAAGTATTTATGAAAGAAAAAAGTCTGAAACCATCGATAGTATCGATAGTTTGCGAACACTAGCTTAAAGATTTAAGTGAATTCCCCTTTAGCGCGTACAAACAATTTTTACTGGTCAAAGCAAATGTGAATAGCACTAATTTAGGGGAATTATTATTAAAATAAACATAAATTCTTGTTCTTGAAAATTCTTGTTTTTCACTAATTTTAATAGGTTTTAGAGAGTAGGACAAATCACCCATTTTTGTATAAGATCAATGTCTTTTTTTACACGGCTTCTTCTGGAACCAATCTCCGTGTAAAAACAGACTTAGGTGTATATATATATATATATATATATATATATATATATACGAGTATATATATATATATATATGTATACATTTTATTAACAAGAAAAGCAAAAACTTCAATACAACTGAACCATCTAAGTAAATCTAAATGTTGTTATTTAATGTTTATCATTAGAAATTCATATATTATTTATGAACTCTGTGAAGTAAACAAAAAACTATGTTATTAAAACATCAACTTATGTCTAAATGCATATATATATATATATATATATAATTTATTTATATGCCAGTACACATGTGCAGCGCAATGAAGCATGTATAAGAAATAGGTGTATTGCAATTTTATAATGCAATAAAAATTTATGCAATGAATATAATAGACGAATCAAATATACAATCTTCAGCGATAATAATACATATATAGAACGATCAAAAATTCAAATGTCAGTTTTGATTTTTGAACACCACTTGAAAAGACAGTAAGAACTAAACTTTTGCAATGTATTTTGAATAACTGTCTTAATGTAATGTAATTTTGAAAGCATAAATATGGTAAAATAATAAAATGTAGTATAAATAAATATAAGAAATATTCATGTTTTTAGTTCCAACAATTAACCACACGTCATATACAAAGCATAAATAAATTACAATTCGAATTTGCATTGATGATTCAAACAACATGTCATTCAATCGAAAACAGCGAATGTTTGTTAAATTTTGATTTGATTTTTGGCCTCCGTAAATTATATTATATGCAAATGATATCACGGTGATTGAAGTACGTATACGAGTATGTTTACATAATGAACATTTAAAACTTACATTATTTGTACGATGTGCACCATTTTCTCGTTCCTGAGCCTATCGGCCGATTTGAATTTCCCATTGTTCTCAAATTGCAATTGGGTTCTTGCTACTCTAATTTCACTTTCCATCGAATTATTCACTGCTTGCGTTTTCATTGCATATCCATTCGTCGTGGCGGTAACTGATTCTGCAGCAATTATTCTGTGTTTATCGGTTATTATAACGAAATTGGCGATAACGAAAAAGAACGCGACTCTGATCAATTGGTGCATCATTTTAATATAAAATTTGTTATTAAATAAATATTGTTGTAACGCAATTAGGTATCGCGTGCGTTTGATTGTGGCTCACGTTGATTACTGGTAAGTTACACCGACGACCGTTCGCTTTCTGCCCGTACAGCCTTGAGGTAACCAGCTTACACTATGCAAGATTCTTGTGACGTCACAAGGCTACAAGATGATCTGACACTGAAATATAGTTCGGAGGACAAAAAGTTCTAAATGTAAAATAAATGTTATTATACTTATTGGTATTGCTAAACAATTGTTTATTCTCAAGCGCGATCCTCAAACTTTCAATCGATTTTCAATCACTTTTCAATCGATTTTCAATTTTCCAGCCGGCTACTATGCACAATTGATTTAACACCTACCATTACAAATTATCCAAGTTTGAGAATCTACCATAAACCAAAAAAATGAATAATAATTTAATATAGATTTAAATGTTAGTCGATAATAGATAAAATTAATACCCTTTACGATAAGAACTTTTTAACAGTAGATTTTTACTTACTTCCCGTAGGGTAGTTATAGTAATGGACCGGACATCGAACATGAAAATTTTTGCATATTTTACGTTTTGAAGGTTTCTGAACATTTTGGCACACCTCAGAAAAAATTGATGTGTGTGTGTATGTGTGTATGTTTTGTATGTCCGCATTGTTTCGTCCACGTTTTCGGGCGCACGGAACAACCGATTTGAATGGTTCAAAAAACATTCGATTATTATTGATAGGGAGATGTGTTGATTAGTTTCTGGCAAAAGCAGGTTTACCCGTTACGGAGATACAGAGCAAAGAGTGCAGAAAATACAAATCGAGTTTTTGAGAGAACGAAGTATCCGATTTGAATGATCTAAAAAACATTCAATTTGTAATGATTGGGAAAACATGTGATTAATTTTTGACAAAGGCAGGTCCAGCCATTTCGAAGATACAAAGCTAAATGTGCAAAAAATGGCAGTTTTTGAGAACTAATGATTCAAAGAACTTTTTGCTTGTTTTAACAAAATAATTGCTTTTGGAAAATAAAAATTTTGTTTCAAACTTTTTTTTTCAAAAAAATTTTTGTTTGTATATCGAAAATAATTCAAATTTTAATTTTAATTCTGACTAATGTTCTAATATACATTAAACAAATAATTTTAACTTTGCAATTCAGTTTATATAATTCTTATAAATATTAGACAATGTTACAGTATTTATAATAATCTATTTGAAAACATTTAATATTCCTCAAACACCTCGTTACGGTACGGGAAGTTCCAGCAATTTGCCTTGAGGCACGATGCCATACACCACTAGTTGTTTATGCATTTACAGTTTTTTTAGATAAATCATATTATATAAATATTTTATTAGGTTTCAAATCTGTGCTTCCCCCATTTGCTATTTAAATTAACTATCAATATCAATAACATTACATTTAAAATTAATAAAAATACGTTCTGTCTGCATAACAATTTAATAAATACGATGAATAATAAGGTTTTCTTAAGGTCCCGTATCTAGTATCCACAAAAGCACAGCTATTTTAAAAATTGTTATTCATATGTCCATATGCGATTTTGTTCTTGACATGTAATCGTTATTTTTTATTTAAATTTAGGATATCGTATCATATGAATTGAACGGAATAAAATTTTAGTTGCCGTTTGCCGAATAATTACACGTAAGCAGATTTTGTATGCAGTTTGAATACATTTATTACATAATCTAGATACACATCTAAATGATTTTTTGTACCTATCTTTAACATTTAAACATATTTTTTATTATTTATTCACAGAATTGATTATTTAATGAACTTCCAGAGTTGTTAAAACAGCATTGTTTCTTAGTGACTTGCAATATTTTAATTGTAAACTCAAATACACAAAAGTAAATTTTGAAATCTTATGTAATTTTTTTAAATTTAGTCGAAATGTGCATGTAGTAGGGCAATTGATTGCAAATATAAAAGAAAATAAAAACAATGCTATTAAGTATGCTCCTAATTAAATTATTTCGACTCAATTTAAGACTGCTGAGTAGGTTTAAGGTATAAGAAGAAAATATCTCATTATATTTTCAATTTGTTATTATAATCCTGTTTGATTATAGCTCTGTACTTTGATTCGTTAATACTTATTTTAACAAAATGCTAAAATCCTCAATTTTATTTGAATTGTATGAGATTATTCAAGTCAGGACTGTAGAGGAAGTAGATGTAAAATCAGTCATTTTTGTATTCGTTCATTCGACATCTTAAAACTATATAGTTTAAACTATATTAAAATCCTATAATTTGGTTTGCAATGTACTATTATGAGAACTGACATATTTATAACCTGTTAGCCGGTATACTAGCATAACAAAATATATGCTGGTGATACACCATATTTTTTTCGCACAGAACCTCAGTGTAAGAGGTCTACAGTTTAATAGATTTTTTATTATAAACATAAATCAATCACAGTATTGAAATAAAATTAAATTAAAATTACTGTTACTATAATATGATTTTTTGATATGCGCATATAAAAGATGGGAACGTTAAAACATTTGTCAAATAACTGTCTAAACCGCATATTTTAAAGCGTTTTATAACTTTTGCATGCGAATTAGAATGATATACATAAAATTTAAGTCCAGAGATTAGCAACATTCGGTGAACCAACTGAAAAGACTATATTCAATATGTTCCACAATATCTAGTTTGAATCGTTGCATTCTAAATTACGTTATCTAAAATATAAAATAATCTTACCCACACGACAAATATGCAGATGATAATTCAGTTCAAATTTTTTTCGTCTGAAGTAAATTATAAAAAACGAAAAAGATATATATATATATATATATATATATATATACACACACATATATATATATATATATATATAATATTTATCATATATATAATATATGATGTATTATAGTACATATATAATAATATATTCATCATTTGGAATTGTGTAATACATAGATCACCTATGGTCTTCTCAATTCTTTAACAATGATTATTTTTTATACATTCAAGAATGTATCCGGTTTATTATTTTGTTTACTAATATAATAAAAACAATTTAATTTAAATTAATGCATCAGCTTTATGCAAAATTGCAATTTTGATGGCATTTTGACTAATTTATAAATATAAAAACCAAACTATGTAATTCGTAAATAACTAACAATAATAATAATAGCAACTCCACTACAGATTTGAGAACAGCTTCTGAATTTTTCAGTTCCCTACATTTTCCCTTCTCGCGCAACTCTCAATCATGCATTCTACTTCTCATAGAATTTTCCTTTCAAAACCGTCGTGAAGGGAACTCTATTCGCAAGTATTATAGAAAAAAAAATATTTAAAAAAAATCGTATCGCGAGTTGTATTCGCCAATACGCGCAATGCCATCTAGAGCAACTTTACAAATTGTTAAAAATGAAAATGAGGACAGCCAGTTTATATTTAACGCGTTTAATGAAAACATATTTGTAATCTATTGCATAATTCAATAGTATATTAGTAACTAATGAAACATTTCTATTACAAATTTTTATCATTTAGTTCACTTGACCAATGTGTTTCTATTACAATAATATTTTTTAACAACGATGCAAATACTAAGGCTTGTTATTGATGTTATTTCTTGTCTAAACTACAATATAAAAACGGAGATAAAAAATGGGAATTTCTGCGCACCACTTAACATAATAAATGCTACATAACAAGAGGTTGCCCGAAAATCAATTCGAGATCAAATTGCCGTTTCTTATAGGCGAATGCGTCATCTCATTCAGATTTACAGTCGGGTCAGGTTAAAATCAAATAATTTAATAATGATCGTAATATAATTTACATATCTTTCTACGAATCCTGAAGTACAAAGTGTACTCATTTTAACTGATATCTTAAGTTTAAAAGAAAAATCTTACGATACTCATATGACATTACATTTTTAATACTAAAGAATGTGGCTAAATAGAACATCATCTTCTTCGTCTTACTCTGTCTAATGTAAAGTTACTGTTTGGACACTTTTTGCATACGCATAATTCTTTAATGATCTGTTTACTAAACGTAAACAAAGTAGTATAATTTTTAACAATTTTTTTTAAAAATTATAATAGTCTGCATAAATAGTCAATAAATTTGTTTAAGCTCAAAGTTTCTGCTTCAAATTTGTTTGTGTAATATTAACAACATGAAAAGTTAAGATTTTTTGTATTGTGTGATATTAAATAACATAGAGGAAAGTCACAAAATATGGAATAGTATCCTAATACGAAATGTTCTCATTTCTCTAACATAAGGACCCTAGACAATATTAGAATACCCTGTAATATATGAATAAGACTGTAAGTAATAAACACAATACTCGACCATCTTTTGTTTCATTCGGTCTACTAACTAACGCACTCGAGTCAGTTGCGCGAACGCTTCACGTGTAGCAGGGGTGTTTTGTTTTGTTTTGTTGTGAAGAAAGTTTTAATCCTTTCCACTCGCGACTTCCGAAATTTATATGAATTTTGCCGGCGGCATTCTAGTCGAGAGGGTTAAAGGTAAGTAATAAATGAGTATTACCAGCTGTTATGTTTGTATACTTTATGTAATTGTTATACTATTTAGTATATAGGTATTATGTTTATTTTACTATTTTGTGATCTATTGTCATTAAAATATTTTGACTTGAAAAAATATTTAGAAAATTTTGAATTAGTATGAAAATCCAAATAAATAAAAAATGAACAGTCGTCGGTGTGTAATTATGGAATACTAATGAATATGGAATATATATGCCAAAGAAACGAAGAAAAGTATCTAGCAGAGAAAGAAAAGTTCATGTAGCAGCAGTCATAACATCTTCTCCCTACAAAAATGATTTAGAAAATAAAAATATGAAGAAACAAGAAAAAAAAGTAAATTAGTCAAGACTAAGAATAAGAAGAAAACTGCGAAGAGGAACAAACAAAAGAAGAAAAATAAGGATGATAGTGAAGAAATAAACTCTGAATTGATGGACCAAGATATTAAGGTCTATTTTTGTTATTTTTATGTTGATTTATGCTTATATTCCATATATGGGTAC